GGGGGTGGGTCATCCTGTTTTATAACGGGAATTGGCACATATTTGACACAATCGACAACAAAGATAACTCCGTCCAGTTCCAAACGACGAAAAATTTTCGAGCCGTAGCTGAAAAAGTACACGTGCTGGTGTATAATAGAGAGGGCAATTTCATGTATTGTAAAATTTGTACCAAAGCTAAGTCTAAGTCTAACGGGAGTCCCAGGCAAAAATTTTCAAAATACTGCGCTCTTTCGGTCTTGCTAGTATTCAAGAATGCCAAATGGCCAACTTGTTTCTACATGCTATTTGTCTCCGTGCATATGGGACACATGTTCATGGATCTGGGACTCACACTCTTGGGCCTGGGGCTCTTATTTTACTGGCTGTGTGAGTCCAGGACTCACTACAGCTTTTTTTAAGGTGGATCGCTGTTCCACTGGTAGCGAGGCTAAAGGCAAAGTGTGAAAGGCTTACGGTCAAGTTTTTTTAGTGTTTTAGGGACATGACCTTAAGTTGCGAAAGTAAAGGAAAACAACATTATTTTTAGATGGTTTTGTATCATCAAGAAAAAAATCTAAAACTTGAACAATATCACAGTTTCATACAGAAAAAGGGATTTTGTTGTATTATGCAACTAAAAATGTCATGTCTCATAGAGAGTGGGTCATGTAATTTTAACTTTCATTTAAGGTGGGTCACTCAGTGTTGTGCCAGATGAAAGGGGTGGGTCATGCGTTTTCTAACCACCACATTTTCAAATGCTCCGGCCTACCNCCCCCAAACCCCCCCTTTACTCTTTGACTAGTCTCTTAAAGTGTTAATTTCTGCAGTAACCCGTAGAGAATTGACCACAATTTTCTTAAAACAATTGTTAAGTATTTTCGTGCACAATGTAGGTTATTGTTTTACTTTTTCATATCAACAGCAATTTCCGAACTTAACGTTGTACGTTCGCTCCGTCTTGTTTTGTGGAAAAAACTGACCTGTGGTTGGGGCTACCGTGTTAACCATCGTCATAGTGGTCGTAGTAGCAGCAATAGCAGGTACAAACGTTACTTCTTGGAAGCCTCTATTGTCTAGTCCATGGTAATCGATGGTGTCACTTGTAGCATGAAAAGCCCATATAAGGTAAACTGGCACTCCCGGCTAAAACATGGGAAAAGAACAATGAACTAAATACTCACGAAACTTCAATCAAGGCAATGCTGTTGATTATCTTCTGATTAATCGATCAGGTCTCTACTTTAAAAAAAAAAAAAATGCAACAAACTTATGTTCGTTTGTCTGGACGATCGAACAGTTGATTTTAAAATATTCTTTCGCTTTCTCATTCCCCCAAAGAGAAACTAGACTGATTAAATGTTTCGTTCTTGACTGTCCCGTAATTTGTATTCCGTAAATACTAAAACGTTGCTGCAAAACATAAAGTATTTGAAGTAACGGTAGGGTTAAGTTATAAAAACTAACAAGTTAGGTAAAAACGGTGGCATCATTTTTCACTGCATTCTAACTCCCCGTAAATGCTAGTGCTATGCCAACATTTCTATGCTGTTATTATTTTTCCCAGCCATGAACAGAGGCTGAAAGAACAATAACAGCAGCAGCTAAATCTATTCCGCCATCTAATTAAAACCATTTTTTCATGAGTTATGCTGTTTGCGAAGCTCGGCAGAATGACCTTAGCCTGCCAGCAGGCTCTGTTGATTGGGCCGAGGACCGAGGACCAGAGAATTGAGAAGAGTTGTCTTCCACTAAAATCTGTGTGAACTTTAACGCCTTATAAAAATATTGCCTTGGTGGATTCTCTTTTCTCTCTTAAAATAGTATCACTGCTTTTAGTTTCCGAGGCCCCTCCCACCAAGCCCCCGCCAAGTCGTTCTTAAACTCGCTTAAGCGCCAAAGCGAAAAGTTAGAAAGCAGCGCTTCAGTGGGCAACCCAGACCGATATATGACTTATAATTTTAAAAGCTAGGTGTAAGAACACACATACAGAGGCACTCATAGCACTTATATATATTTTCCCTGCGTTTTTTTTTTTTAAATTTTTACCTGAATAGCAACATCTTGTAGATTGCCCGTATTTAGTTTGCGATAAAACATCAACTTTGTAACACCGTTGTCTTCACTGGAATAAGTTAACTTCCAGTCTTGTATACTATCCTGCTGTGGCATCATCTGGCCAATGGTGATATAGTCCTGGAGAATGAGACAAAGTAAAGAATCACTTGGTAGGCTGGGTCAATTACACAGTACAGAAAGCCTATAATATATCCCTCTCCTAATATTCCTCTAGTTTTACTCTAAGCCAAAGAAAACGTTTGATTAATTTAACTATTTCTGTTAGCTAATGAAATGTAGACTAACAAAAGTGTATAAGGTGTTATTAAAAAGCTGTAACAACTGTCTATTGATGTAGGGTATGTAAGGTCTAGGTGTGAGCTTTAAGTGGCAATGAAGCCAGTTTCCGTACCATATGAAAAGAATAGGAGTATTTCTACACCCCATTCAAGAGATGCTAATCCATTACAGAGCTACCTCATAGAGGCAGAGTCCATATATACACTTGGGTGGAGACAGGCACTGTGAGAGTGGTGCGGCTTTTCAAGAACAATGCTAACTCCCCGGCCGTTGATCCAGAGTCAAGCACATTAGCCTACCCCCACCGTGCCTCCCCATGTAGAACAGTCTAATATTTTACCAGTATATTCCCGTCTCCGGCTGCATTGACCATTGCAACAGCTACATCGTATCCAACCATACTTGGCGTGGCTGGTGGCACTGCCGTTGAGAAACCAAACGCAACATATCCCGTGGCCATCACTTCAACCATAAAGTGTAATGTGTCCATACTGGTATTGTGCATCCACGAAACATTATACCTGCCGTTATCCAAGGACAGAAAGTTTGCTACAGGCATCGGTGGAGGCATGGGCATGGCAGTCACTGTAGCTAAAATAGATGTATTAGAAGGTTAGTTACACGGAAAGAAATGGTGGTTTAAATGTATTGTATGTTAGGCTTGGGAGAGAAAACGACAAACGAGACATGCAGTCAGTCAGCAGCACAAGTAACATGTTCAGAAAGTTCATTGTTGACAT